GCTTATAAGGTAGCATTCCGAGGAACTAACATATCCTGAAAGTCTGCACAGATATAATGCTACCCACATTCGGGATAGGGCGGGATATAAATCCAAGGTTAATTAAATAAATAAATAAATAAAATAAATACTAACCAGAAGCAAGATATGGAACCACCTGCTCTGTCTCCTGCCCTTCACCTCCAATGCTCAAATTCCACCACCCCACCCTGCAAGTTTCTGAAAACTATCCAGGAACATTTAGAAATGTATGATCATGTCCAGTAATTGTCAAATATAAATGCCAAGTTATGATTAAAAAGCAGAGGGAATCATAGTACAAAGGGGAAAGGAACTCATAATCCCATGAACTGCTCCTGAAGGGTTCGGTATGGATCATATTACATCTGTATAAATCCACAATTTTTTTAAAAACCCTAAAATTTAAAGAACACCCACAAATATTTCCCACTCTATAATGCAATACAGCTCCAGGTCCAGGCAGTACCCTTCTGCAAGGACTCTTATATAACATGGCTAGAAAACGTTCCTGTTTGTAGCTCTGGATTAAGTATTCGCTGCCTGTCAGGGCTGACAGTACTATACCAGATGGACCACCTTTCTTCATATTCTTATGCATTCCAGGGAGATTTCTATAATCCACAGAGTACTTTAGAGCAATGCTTCTTGTGGCCAATGGAAGGGCCTTCAAGTGTGTTTTGAGTAATCTAAAGCTATCTATGCATGCGGACATAACTGCGTCTGCTGACAATGAATCCCACAATTTAATTACTCATTTAGTAAAATAATATTTCCTTCAGTCCGTACAACATGGCTCAGCACCAACCAACCACATGAACTATGGAAAAGTACTGGAAAATTACGAAGTATCTACACAACCAATTTAATAAAGAGAATAAATTGTGTACTGCCATATATTGTTTTGCTGATTTTCCTTTTTGTTGCTTCTATACATTCTGTTATATAATGATGTTTAATTTATGATTATGCTCAACCATGTATCACCATTTTTAATGTTTATGGCAAAGAAACAATCAATGTTTTACAAGAACAGGAAAAGTGTGCTTTGAGTAATGAATAGGAATGGCCATGAACCGAAGCACAAAGCAAAATCACAATTTTTGCACCGTTTGTAGTTCAAGAAAGAAGTTCCACAAACTTTTAAAGCAGTTTGTGGTGGTTTGTGGATGGAGCAGAAAGCACAGGTTTAAAGGGACTCCAAGTCCCTTTAAACCTGTGCTTTCTATTCCCCATGAAAGCTGCAAAAACAGCTGAGCGGCAGGGAGGTGCTCCCCACCCCTCAGCTGTTTTAGACTATCTTGTGCAGTCCTTTTAAATTAGACAGCCCAAAAAAGCTCCCTTCTGCTCAGCTGTTTCAGGCTGTCTTGTGCAGTCCCTTTAAACTAAAGGGACTGCACCAGACAGCCTGGAAAACAGCTGAGTGGCAGGGAGGGATTCCCCACCACTCAGTTGTTTTTGGGCTGTTTTCTGCTGCTCCCTATTGCTCCAAAAATGAGAGATCACAGCAAGAAGTGGAAATCCAAAAGCAACATTCGTGACAAAAATAACGAAGAGTCAATAAAGATACGTTGCAAAATCATTTACTGTGGTAATTCTGTAGAAAATTCTCTTATATTATTGCTCACATGCTAATGAGCATGTAGCAATCACAATTCTTATAAATTAGTACTTATCAACTCTTGAAGAAAACATTCCATTTTTGACTCTCTAATAACAGAACCCAAGGTCTTCACAATGGAATGTTTCTTTCAAGAGTTGTTAAGTAGTAACTTATAAAAATTGTGATTGCTACACGCTCAGATAAAGCAAATATTGTGAAACGAATTGTTTACATTGGGCAGCATTCGTTAGTGTGTAAGCGATAACAAAAGAGAATTTTCTACAGAATTACTACAGTAAATGATTTTCCAACATATCTTTATTGACTCTTCGTTATTTTTGTCACGGATGTTGTTTTGGGATTTCCACTCCCCATTGCTCAGCTGTTTTTTTGGGCTTTCTGCAAACCCTGTTGAAGGGGACTGCGATCCCTTTCAAGAGGGTTTGCAGGGCCATGAACTGGTTTGGTTTACAAAGAAACCTCCTGGTTCAGTTTGGTTCATGGTTTGACCACACACCATGAACCAAACCACATTTCCCTAGTTTGTAATGAATGTCCTGTCTTGAAATGTATGTAATGAATGTCCTGTCTTGAAAACACATCTCCTTGCAAGGTCCTTGCCAACATTAGAATAATAATGAACATGCAACAGAAGTCTGCACAGATATAATGCTACCCACATACTAACCAGAAGCAAGATATGGAACCGCCTGCTCTGTCTCCTGCCCTTCACCTCCAATGCTCAAATTCCACCACCCCACCCTGCAAGTTTCTGAAAACTATCCAGGAACATTTAGAAATTCATGATCGTGTCCAGTAATTGTCAAATATAAATGCCAAGTTATGATTAAAAAGCAGAGGGAATCACAATACAAATGGAAAAGGAACTCATAATCCCTAAAATTTAAAGAACACACACAAATATTTCCCACTCTATAATGCAATACAGCTCCAGGCAGTACCCTTCTGCAAGGACTCTTATATAACATGGCTAGAAAACGTTCCTGTTTGTAGCTCTGGATTAAGTATTCGCTGCCTGTCAGGGCTGACAGTACTATACCAGATGGACCACCTTTCTTCATATTCTTATGCATTCCAGGGAGATTTCTATAATCCACAGAGTACTTTAGAGCAATGCTTCTTGTGGCCAATGGAAGGGCCTTCAAGTGTGTTTTGAGTAATCTAAAGCTATCTATGCATGCGGACATAACTGCGTCTGCTGACAATGAATCCCACAATTTAATTACTCATTTAGTAAAATAATATTTCCTTCAGTCCGTACAACATGGCTCAACACCAACCAACCACATGAACTACGGAACAGTACTGGAAAATTATGAAGTATCTACACAACCAACTTAATAAAGAGAATAAATGGTGTACTGCCATATATTATTTTGCTGATTTTCCTTTTTGTTGCTTCTATACATTCTGTTATATAATGATGTTTAATTTATGATTATGCTCAACCATGTATCACCATTTTTAATGTTTATGGCAAAGAAACAATCAATGTTTTATAAGAACAGAAAAAGTGTGCTTTGAGTAATGAATAGGAATGGCCATGAACCGAAGCACAAAGCAAAATCACAATTTTTGCACCGTTTGTAGTTCAAGAAAGAAGTTCCACAAACTTTTAAAGCAGTTTGTGGCGGTTTGTGGATGGAGCAGAAAGCACAGGTTTAAAGGGACTCCAAGTCCCTTTAAACCTGTGCTTTCTATTCCCCATGAAAGCTGCAAAAACAGCTGAGCGGCAGGGAGGTGCTCCCCACCCCTCAGCTGTTTTAGACTATCTTGTGCAGTCCTTTTAAATTAGACAGCCCAAAAAAGCTCCCTTCTGCTCAGCTGTTTCAGGCTGTCTTGTGCAGTCCCTTTAAACTAAAGGGACTGCACCAGACAGCCTGGAAAACAGCTGAGTGGCAGGGAGGTGTTCCCCACCACTCAGCTGTTTTTGGGGCTGTTTTCTGCTGCTCCCCATTGTTCCAAAAATGAGAGATCACAGGAAGAAGTGGAAATCCAAAAGCAACATTCGTGACAAAAATAACAAAGAGTCAATAAAGATACGTTGCAAAATCATTTACTGTGGTAATTCTGTAGAAAATTCTCTTATATTATTGCTCACATGCTAATGAGCATGTAGCAATCACAATTCTTATAAATTAGTACTTATCAACTCTTGAAGAAAACATTCCATTTTTGACTCTCTAATAACAGAACCCAAGGTCTTCACAATGGAATGTTTCTTTCAAGAGTTGATAAGCAGTAACTTATAAGAATTGTGATTGCGACACGCTCAGATAGAACAAATATTGTGAAACGAATTGTTTACATTGCGCAGCATTCGTTAGCGTGTAAGCGATAACAAAAGAGAATTTTGTTATGAATTACTACAGTAAATTATTTTCCAGCATATCTTTATTGACTCTTCGTTATTTTTGTCACGGATGTTGTTTTGGGATTTCCACTCCCCATTGCTCAGCTGTTTTTTTGGGCTTTCTGCAAACCCTGTTGAAGGGGACTGCGATCCCTTTCAAGAGGGTTTGCAGGGCCATGAACTGGTTTGGTTTACAAAGAAACCTCCTGGTTCAGTTTGGTTCATGGTTTGACCACACACCATGAACCAAACCACATTTCCCTAGTTTGTAATGAATGTCCTGTCTTGAAATGTAATGAATGTCCTGTCTTGAAAACAGATCTCTTTGCAAGGTCCTTGCCTACATTAGAATAATAATGAACATGCAACAGCTTCTTTCTAATTCTTATTTAGAGCATTTAGAAGATAAACATTTTAAGGAACACTTGTATTTTGTGGACCTCAAGGGCATGAAGATTGGCAAACAGAACCATTGAATCCAGCTCAGGAGAAAGCCATTCCATAAAACAAATCTCTGCACTTACCTCCAGTCGCCTGATGATCTCTCGTAAAGAAAGCATAGACTCATTTCCTCCTATAAAGGTGGTTGTAGGCAACTGGAACACTTTGTCCAGGTCAGACTCATATAAACCATAAAATCCTGTGGTATATCCATTGAGAGCAACATGGAAGGAGAAAAATAGTATTTATCCCACTGCCACACAATTTTTATATGCAAGGTAAAAGAAAGAAATACTTATTAATTTATTATATTGTTTAAACCGAAAAGTAAAAACACAATCAATCCATACCTGGAATATCTGCAAACCTGAGGACAAGTTTTTCAAAGTGTATCAGGAGAATGTAAGCTAGTACACTGCCTGATGAACCAAAAAAAGGTCTATTTGATCAAGTACTGAAGGTGCATGATACAAACATACGACTACTCTTGCAGTCTTTGCTGCCCTTTCCCCATATTTCATAGTACCTTCTTCACTTATTTTTTTGTATTACTCAGTTAGTATTTTGAAATCAGCAACTCTCACGTTGTTTCACAGCGTATCAAAAATATCTTTTAAAGGTACTGTTAAATCCTCAAAGCAAACCCTTTTTAAAAATTTTCTCTGGTGGTGGTGGAAAATGACAACTTATGGTGAACTGGTGAACCCATGGGGTTTTCAAAGCAAGAGACATGCAGAGGTGGTTTGCCATCGCCAGTCTCTGCATAGCAATCCTGGACTTCCTAGGTGGTCTCCCCATCCAAATACTAAGCAGGGATGACCCTGCTTTGCTTCCGAGATTGACAAGATTGGGCTTAGCCTGGCCCATCTATAGCAGGGCAAACAGATGCTCTTCCACTAAGCCATGGCCCATCACCCTTAGATTTCTCTATAGTGGGTTAAATTGTTTTTATAAGAATGAAAGGATCCTTGCTTGTATTCCTTCATCCAAGTCCACCGGTTATTTGTACATACGCACACATGCGTAGACAAATTTCAAACAATTTATCATAAGTTAATACACAGTGTTAGAGGATGAACTCATTAAAGAAGAGTTGTCTGACACATGGCAAAGCTGAATGTTCTCTCTTAATTGTAATGCTCACCTAGCTACCTGACGCATTGAGTCGTGAGACATTCCCCTCACTGTTGATATTAATTTATTACAAAGGATTTGAAAAAAATCTTACCCAGTTTATCAATAGTAGTGATTAAATCCGATGGAACGAATGAGTCCAAATCTGCATCCAAGATTCCCAAGGGGTCCAACTGAGCCACATGATGTCCACGGATCTGAACAGGTTGAAGTGGGTAAGAAGAGTGGTAGGAAAGGCAAAGAAGAAATCATAATGCTAACAAAAGTAAGTCAAGGGGAAGAGCTCAGCAATGTTTGCACACCCAAGAGACAGATCACTCAAGAAACCATCAAAAGAAATGTCATTAATCCCAAGAGGGTCAAGCTGACTTTTGTAGTGCCCTACAACCTAAAAATAAGGAGTGCTGTCACTGGATATGTGATCCATGATAAACCTTATCTTACACAGACTTACAAAGTTAAAGTTATTGTCTTCTCTACCTACACAGTTTTAAGGAGGGATTCTACATTTCCAGGTTCTGTGGTCCAGGACTGTTCACAAGACTATGTATTGTATTCCAGGAATTACATCTACTTATATTTCAGAACAGCCCTGGGAATCTTTTCACATATCTGCTTTTCAACATACAGCAAAATGTGAGCAAGTCTCTATAGCAGAACACAGGTTCAATGCATTCTGTTTTCTAGAAGAACAACAGCAGCGACTTAAGAAAGCCATTAAAATCCTCCCTTGGTCACTCTGTTCTAGCAGAACACAGGTTCAATACATTCTGTTTTCTAGAAGAACAGCAGCGACTTAAGAAAGGCATTAAAATCCTCCCTTGGTCACTCTGTTCACCAGATGTCTTTGTAGTATGCAGGATGAAAATACTGTACCAAATATTTCCGGCATCCTCTGAGGTTCTTTATTGGGAATCCCTCAATGGGAAGATAAGATATGATAGACAAACATCCCTAGAGGACAGCTCACTTACTGATATTACTCTTCCCCTGTACAGTACTGCTCAGGGGAGTAGTTCTCAGTCAACATGGATCAACAGTAAATCCTGATATGTTTCAGCAACGCCCTGAATGAGCTATATCCCCTAGAAATGCCACAGAATATTTTGCTACAAACAGATATGGATATGGAAAACAATATCTAAACATAGAAAGCATCAAAAATGCTCTTATAAGGGGGGGCCTTTCCCACAAATATTCATACACTGTTGAGGGGGGAGAAACCCATCAGGCGTAAAAGTTCATTTAAGGGTACACTAAGATCCTTTTAAAATAAACCAATAATATACTGGATGTAAGACAGTAAAGAATATGTCCAGATCCCTGCTGAATCAGATTAGTGGTTCATCTAGTCCAGCATCCTGCATCACACAGTGACCAACCAGCTGCCCTGGAGGGCCAGTTATCAGGGCACAGAGGCCAAGTAATATATCACCCTTTTTGTTGTTGTTCAGTCGCACAGTCGAGTCCGACTCTTCGCGACCCAATAAGCAAGGTGACAATATACATCCTTGTCGTATTCCTTTTCCTATGCTAAACCAATCAGTTGTTCCATATCCGGTTCTAACTGTCGCTTCTTGACCCTTATACAGGTTTCTCAAGAGACATCACCCTACCTGGCACAAGATACTTCCAGGCTCCCCATAAACTTTAGGGATTAAACCTTTAAAGAATTACAACGGAAGAAGTGAAAGTGGGCTCAGCAGAAAACAGTGTTGTACTTACCTGCAACTGTTGTTCATTGAGTTGTATCTGTGTAGGCACACAGGTGCAGGCCAGCCACCAGGAAGATTTCTTAGCTTCTCTTTAACCTTAGCAACAGAGCAGGGGGAGCCCTCCAATCTGGAACTTTCTTGAGGTCATCTTCCTGCTCTACAGTCACATGCTCCAGGGGAGGTGCTCCCCCTTTCCCTCAGTTCTCCTGAGTGGCTGCAATGAATCTCAGATAATATTAACAAGAAGCTCACAGCAGGGCAGGAGGGAGGGATGTGTGCCTGCAGAGACAACTTGTTGAGTAACAGTTGCAGGTAAGTGCAACACTGTTTTCATTGTCATTGTTCCGTGCAGTTCCACTATAAAGTACTGAGACTACTGCATGGTTTAGTGATTTCAGCTCATACTTTATTAGCACATAGGAGAACTTGAGATAACTAGCGTGGCCCGCGGCCCGCTTATATTCCCATTCAAAACACACCCAACACTCACACCCACACCCACACCTGTGATTGGATTATTTACACACAACTCCCCCTATTGGTTCCCTATTAGGATCCGGGCTGACCAACAGGTGAGTTCTCGGATCTGTAGCTGCTATTGTCCTTGGGTGCGAAGCTCAGCACGTTCCTGTGATCACGTGCAAGCCCGACCACGTAGTCTTATCATGGTACACAACACCCCTCACCCCTTGGTCCAGATACCCCCTAGCAGACATAATCTCTGAGGTACACGGGTTTCTGCTGCTCCCTAGTGGAACGGCACACACCTGGCTCTGAGGCTGTACTCTCCGGCATCATCCTGGCCGGTTCGGGTGAAGGGATCTCGGTCGCTGGAACCTCCGCTGGTGTGGGACTGCTACGCAGCTCCTGGCTGTCTGTTGGCTCTGTGTTGCTGCTGTTGCTTTCACCTGGTGGAGCGCTCGGACGCGGCTCTGCTGGTGCGGTTGCCTCGGGTTCCCGGGAAGTTGGACCATCGGAGGCACTGTCGGCGGGAGTGTCAGTGTCTGCTGGAAGGAGGAGGCAGCATAGTTGGTCTATGTGCCGTCTTAACAGCCTATTAGGATCCGGGCTGCTATTGTCCTTGGGTGCGAAGCTCGGCACGTTCCTGTGGCCACGTGCGAGCCCGACCGCGTAGCCTTATCATGGTACACAACACCCCTCACCCCCGGACAACTCTAGCCGTAATCCAAGTGGGACCCCGGGCGTACACAGAGTCCCCCGGGAAGAACCCCCTTGAAGCCTCTTGGTCTTCGGTGGCTGGGCTGTGTTCCGGGCTGAGTCTGTACTCTCCGGAATCATCCTGGCCGGTTCAGGTGAAGGGATCTCGGTTGCTGGAACCTCCGCTGGTGTGGGACCGCTAGGCAGCTCCTGGCTGTCTGTTGGCTCTGCGTTGCTGCTGTTGCTTTCGCCTGGTGGAGTGCTCGGACGCGGCTCTGCTAGTACGGTTGCCTCGGGTTCCCGGGAAGTTGGACCATTGGAGGCACTGTCGGCGGGAGTGTCAGTGTCTGCTGGAAGGAGGAGGCGGCATAGTTGGTCTATGTGCCGTCTTAACAGCTGCCTGTCTTTGCCAGAGACTTCATAGGAGAGCGGCCCTGTCACATGGACAACTCTAGCTGGTATCCAAGTGGGACCTCGGGCATACACTGAGTCCCCTGGGAAGAACCCCCTTGAAGCCTCCTGGTCTTCGGTGGCTGGGCTGTGTTCCGGGGCCCTGTCTGGGTGGAGGCAGTCCAGTCGGGTTGGTAGGCACCAGCCCACGAGGAGCTTGACTGGACTGTGGCCAGTTGTGGTGTGTGGGGTTGTGTGCTGGCCAAAAAGAAAAGCGGCTAACTTGTAGTCCCAGTCCCCCTGATCCATGCGACACAGGGACTCTTTTATAGTTCTGACCATGCGTTCAGCCTGGCCGTTGGTTGAAGGGTGAAACGCAGCGATGCCGTAATATTGCACGAACTCCTGAAACTCCATTGAGGTGAAGGCCATGCCATTGTCTGCCATCAGGGAGTCAGGAATACCATGGGAGCTAACGATCCGCCACATCGCGCGGATGGCCGACCGGGAGGAGGTAGAGGGGACCGTTATTACCTCTAGCCATTTTGTGTATGCATCAACCAGCAGAAAGAATATTTGTCCCTGGAAGGGCCCGACAAAATCCAGATGTAGACTTGCCCAGGTTTATGGGACGACTCCCATGGCCGCACCGGGTCTTGTGGGGGGTCGGGGCTGGATTCCTGACATTTCTGGCAGCACAACTTTATCCTCAATTTCACTGTTCAGCCCCGGCCACCACACATAGCTCCTGGCCAGGGCCTTCATCCTGATGATCCCTGGGTGATTCTCGTGCAGTGCGCCGAGGACTCGATTTCTAAGTGGAGTGGGGATTACTACCCTGCTGCCCCAAAGCAGGCACCCCTTGTGGGAGGACAGTTTGTCCCGGTGGGCTGAAAACGCCGTGAAGTCAGGTCCCAGCGGGCTGGCAGGCCAACCCCTCCCCACCCCGTCCAAGACCTGGGAGAGAATGTGATCCTGGGCAGTGTGGTGTGCCACTTCCCCCACCTGAACCGGGTGGGTGGGCAGGTATTCCAGCAAGGCGATGTGGTGTGCCAGGTTCAGATCAGGGTTGAAGGCAGGGAGCAGGAGACAGCTCATGGCGTTGGTGTGGCCCATCGCCTTACTGGGGCAGTGGGTGAGCAGGTACTGATACCCCGCCAAGAATATGGAAGGACGCAGCACCCGAGGGGATAGCATTTGCAGGGTCTGGTGGTCTGGTGCGAGGAGACCCAAGAGGGGTTTGTGGTCCGTCACAATTGTGAAAGCCCGGCCATAGAGATAGTCGTGAAATTTCTTCACGCCGGCTATGATCGCCAAAGCCTCTTTATCTATCTGGGCATAATTGCACTCCGCCGCAGACAACGTGTGAGAGTAATAGGCGATCAGAACCTTGCAGCCATCGGCCAGTTTGTGCTCCAGGACCACCCCCACCCTGTACGGGGAAGCATCGCAAGCCAACACCACCAGCAGGGCCTCGTTGAAATGGGCGAGGACTGCATTCGAGGACAACAGATCTTTCACTGCCCGGAAAGCGGTGGAGTGTTTGGGACCACAGACCCAGGGATCGTGCTTGTCCAGCAGACAGTGAAGGGGTTCAGCTACAGCAGACTTGTGGGGCAAGAACGAGTGATAAAAGTTCAATAGGCCTAGGAAGGCCTGCAGTTCTGCCTTGGATGAGGGAGTGGGCACCTGCACGATTGTGCGGATCTTGTTGTGCGTTGGGTGGATCCCTTGGGCATCCACCACAAACCCCAAGAATTCCACCCGTGGCACCCCTAGAAGACATTTTTCACGCTTCACCTTTAAACCGGTGGGGATTACCACCCTGCTGCCCCAAAGCAGGCACCCCTTGTGGGAGGACAGTTTGTCCCGGTGGGCTGAAAACGCCGTGAAGTCAGGTCCCAGCGGGCTGGCAGGCCACCCTCTCCCCACTC